ACTGGCTGTTTTTCCAGCCAAGTTTACATAGCATTTAACACTCTTCTCTCTCATTTTTTCTGTTCGGTCTTATGTGCCATAAATTATGCAGAGTGTGAGCATATTTGATGTCCTCCGCCCGGCGATTCGATGCCAGGAGCACCTGCTCTCGAACTTCCTGAGGCGTCATTAGCAGTCAGCAGGCATAGCAAGGAAAAAACCCCAAAAACCGAGAAAAATTCAACATTTTTTGTCGCCCGCATTAACCCCAAAAGATGAGGGGTGACAGGGATATGAGGGGATATATATCGCCTGTATTATTAATGCCCGGCACGTCGATGGTGTGGAAAACCCTTCCCCCGAAAGTCCAGGTTAACTTATATATCCCCCTCTCCTCGATAAGCTGCTTTCGGCGGCCGACTGTTGTTAATCTTAACACAACATTTAACTCAGCCTTGTGGCTATCTTTGGGCGACCAGGAGAAACCACCCACAAGGACACCCACCACCCACCACCCACTTTTAACCACCCACCGGGAGTGCAACGATGGGAAGGCCACGTGTGGCACATTAGATTCGTCGCCAAACACGCGGCGCATTTGTTGTACTTTCGTGCAACTTCTCCATCGCCCCGATGCAATTGACTTGAACTAATCCAAATATTATCGCCAACAAAAGGGGGAAGTGGGTGGATGTGGCTACAATTGCGATTGTCGCATGCCAACATCATTAAAAATTGTTTTGATTAATAACCAGAACGCAGAAGCACGCGGCGGTCCTTGTCTTTTGATCAGCACTTTTATTCTGTTTCCCCTTCCTTTTATTTCCAGTAAATATTTGCAAAATTCTGAACACAATTTTTAACTCTCCTGGGGAGGGTTATCTAAGAAATGGGTAATTGCAGGAGAGTTATCAAAGCAGCGCCAAAGAAAACCAGAAAATTTGTTTGCTCGGATAAAGATTGTTCGTGTTTGCCTGCAAATTGCACAATGAGCAGCTGATGATATCAGGTTTGTACCTTTATACGGGTGAGATATGCTAAGTAAACGGTACGTGTCGGAAGAATTAATTCCCGGAACAGCTGGAAAGTTTGACAATTATCGGGGTTATCTGAAGCGGAAAAAAACGATTAGAAAGTGGGTGGGTGCACAATGGAAAATATTTTACAATTCAAAGTCAGATCCCAAAATAATCAGACTCATTCTTTTGGGCTAAACATGAAACCTTGTCTTACATTAAACATTTCGATTGGCGCCACTGTTTATGTTAAACTCAGCTGTTCCCTAAAACTCGATCCATAAAACAGATACGTTTTATAATTTGTTGTATCGCCGGCTGATCGTTACGACCTCTTGACGAACGCGTCCAAAAGCGCCACTCAAATCGAAGAGCCATCAGGTTATTGGGGCTAAGTGAAAGTAAATTTTTGGTATTTTTATGGACGTCCATTGAGTCGGAGACAGATGCCATTAATGTTGCATTCCGCTGCGGAGTGTTGAAAGCTCTTTTGTCTGTCGCCCCGAGCACTTCACACCGAATTGCTTAATCAGAGTGGTTCTTTCTCTCATTCCCTATCCATATCGCATTTATATAGCATACGAGTATATGTATATCGGATCCAAAAGCGCATTCTTTGAGTGTGGTCGAGGCCCAGTGGCTTGACAAAGGCGATTAAAATAATTGGCCAGCGACGATTCCTCGATTCTGGTTCGTGGTAAAAGCCATTTCGGGCTGATTTATTGCATTATAAATTTGTGCGCATGCCTAAGAAGCTACGATTTTTAAATTTTAGAAAGTTGTCCCCCGAAAGAGCTCCACCTTCCGAGTTCTTGCGCCGGAGAGCCCGCACTCGGATATTTTATTAGCTACTACGCATCCATAAATTATGCCTAATGAGGCGGCTAGACGTCGAAGACAACAAAAGTCTGAGTTCTCTGGGCCGGGCCCTTCGAGTATTTCGAATGGTGTGAAATTGTAATTGGATTGGAATGCGCAATGAGGCGGAAATGTAATGCAAAATGTTGAAACAAATGGATCTTGTTTGTCAATTAAAGTGTGACCATAAAACATGTCACAATGATGTATGCCCAAAGTGGATTTCATAATCCCCGGCGCGCACAGAACAACATGAATTTTATACTTTTACGAGCGGCCGATTCAATTGGAATTCCGAATTCGGTCGTTAATGAAGTGAGTGATCTTATGGCTTGAATAAAAAGTTTTGACACTCTGCAGTTTATGGTTGCTGGGATTAATTAATTGAATTTGTTACAGAGTCCTTAAACTCGTATTCAATCAACCATTAGCTGACTATGAACTCGAATTCCTTATCAAGCCGCAGACTCCACACAGCATTCCCACTATCAGCTTCATCACATTCTGGGGACGTGTTAGGATAATCGAATTCTGGGTAAATAGAACCCTTTTTTTTAGCTAACTGGCCTTAAAAAACTGAGAGTGGAGGGGAGAAGGGGTTTAAGGGTCATGGCGACAGCAATAATTCAAATGGGAGCAGCATTACTCAAAGCGAGTTGTGTGTGCGGTTGACAGTCGGCGGAGTTAACGAATGCTTCCCCTTGGTTTTGATTCATGGCCCTCGGCCACTGGCCCGCTCTTCCTCTTCTTCATCTGTTGGCCAGGTCTAATCGCCTTGGCGACACCTATTTTCGTAGGCGCGACATCCCCGCCTCGCCTGTCCGTCCACTCGATTCGGAGACCCAAAGTCGCATCCGTGCGTAGGGCATCATCAGTTGCCAGACCGTAACTAAAATGAGACGCCAAACAAAAAGCAATTACGTGTGCTGCCTGCCCTTTTGAGCTTCATTTCGAGGAGGACGAAGGGGTTGGGGTTCGGAGTGGGTGATTCGTTTGGGCCAAGCAGCACTGAATAAAATTCCTTATCGCCATACGAGTTTTACATGAGAAGAGGGTTTCCTCGCGGTGGCACCGTGAGTGGTGATCAGTAAAAGATACAAAACATACCGAACAATTACTTTAAAAGAAGGAATATTTAATTTAAATTATAAGGAGGGTGGTAAGTAAAAAATTAAACAAGGTTAAGGAATGCAAAAACACTCTTTCCATATTACTTATTTTAATACAAAATAATATACAGGCGCATTAATACATATTCCAATTAAGAATATTATTATTATTTTAATTTAATAATTTATATTATTTTGTAACAAATTGTTGTGCCATCACTAACTTCGAGATGCATAGCTCTGATATATGAACAACCGAGATGGAGAAGTACCAAAAGGCCCAAGATACCGAGTCGCCGAACAAAAGGCAGCGGCAATTAATCTTCGCTTCTGAGTTTGGCTTCAAGGTGAATTGTGTGGCATGCGCCCGAGGGCCAAAAGTGCGATGTGTTTGGGCCTCTTCCTTAACCCATGAGCTCCCCTCCCCCCGTCCATTCCCCTGCTAATGACGGTGGGTTAAATGCCGTGCTGCATTCGACTTTAACTCATTGAATTATAAATTATGCCTGCCTTGATTCGAGTCCGTGGAAAGAGGGGGGAAATGGAGGGGTAAACGTGCCCAGGAGAACTTTTGGCAGAGCCCAATTGACAGCTATTTTTGGGGATCCCCCGTCCCCTGAACAAAAAACCATATGTATCCGAAGCCACGACCTGGGTAATTTGCTTTATGATCCCAGCCTCGACTTTGGCCCGGGGCATCTCGTCCTCATTCCTGGGCCGATTGCCAAAATCAAGGACCCAGGATGTCCGAGAACGTGTGAAAAACGCAGTCAGGCGTAAGTGCGCCCGGTATAATTTCGGGATAGGAACTCTCCGACTCAATTCGAACTGGGTTCAGTGCACGTGGAAAATATGCTCCTCCTCGGCATGCAAAAGGATCGAATGGGGTTCAGTGGAGTGGAAGGCATGGACACACACGGCAAATCACCTGGAAGTAATGCCCTTTGGCTGTCCCTCCCGAAAACAATGAAAGCCTTTGCTGCGATTTATTGATTCTGTCTGACATTGAAACTGGAGCTGCTAATGTCTGTGTTTGCTTTGTTTGGGTCTCACCTCTGTCCCCTAAAGAAGAATCATTTAAAAAGCTTAATAGCTGTATGCAAAACTATTTCTTCATATACATTTTATTTATATTATTCAATACAGCCCGTTTGAATGCTTAAAGAGTATTTCTTTTGAAACAATTTCTCCCAGCTTCAAATGCAAGCCGCAGGCAAAAGTGTCGAGTCTTGAATGACCCACATATTACCCAGACTTCGAGTCGAATCCCATCCCATCCCATCTCATCTCACACTTCTTGGGGCTCTTCTTTTGTCTTCGGTCTCATTTTCCCCAGCCTCTTGGCTTTTTGTTCCTATCTTAAGTGCACTTTTGAAGTGTTTTATTTATTGCACGACTTTTTTTCTTCCTTTCGCCGGAGTTTTCTCTTCCCAACAGCGATGCCTTCTTAAATGCGGAAAGTGTTTCATAATTCAGAGCCGGAGTCTGATTCCGATTCCGAATCCGAGTCGGATTCAGATTCAGATTCAGATTCCCATTTCCCCTGCCCAGTTGCCCACTTGGACCACACGTCGTCAGTGTCGCCAAGTGTTTCTTTTTGTTTTTTGGCTGGATATGATGGTATCATCTCGATTCAATCCAGGGGCGCTGGCTGCGTTATGTGTGTGGCTTTTATGGACTGGCCATAAAAGAAAACTGAAAAAAAACTTAACAAAATACGTTTTTCTTTGTTATTTATATTTGTTACAGTTTGAGCGCATCTTCGGACTTTTCCTCCGGTTTTTTATCTATCAGGGCGCTGTCTCTAATTGCAGAGAACTGCGCCCGCCCATTTCTATAGACAATATATGGGCGTCTTCTCGTTTTGGGATGGCTTTGTTTTGATTGCTGCTGGTCGAGGTCTGGAAAATACGTTTATGATGATGCGATTCGGTCCATAAACATGCTGGACTTCAGATGAGAAATCATTTGGATGCTCTGAGGCAGAGAAATCAGGCAATACATCAAATATGAGGTGTCCAATAAAATAAATAAGCAGTTTATTTCTAATCTATATATTTTTATTTAAATTTCTTATAAATAATAGAGTGTATAATTATCGTTTTTTCCCATTAATCTGACGGTTTTTCGTTCTCACTAAAGTAAATTACTATCTGACGAGGAATATCCGTCCAGTTGTTTTTGATTGTATCCCACGTAGAGTTTATATTTACATTCAAATCATTTATTTTTTCTTCAATTTTCGGTTTGAAAGTATCCTTAATTGCATTCCAGAGTGATGAGCTGCCCTCCTGAGTAGTTATATCCTTCCCATCGTCGTTTATTGTTACCTCATAGGTTAAATTGGCTTTTCCTCCTTCAAGATTGAAAGCTTTTATCTTTTCCTCCAGCTGAGGTTTCACTATATCCTTCATTGCATTCCAGAACGTGGAGCTGCCCTCCTGAACTTTTAATTTACCCTCACAAACCTTTAGCATTTCGTCTTTTTGTGAGAGTTCGATTCTCAGTCGATCCAACTCCATGATATCTGCATTTCTTCGCTTGATTTCATCCAACTTTTGAAGAGTTTCGTTGATCTGTGATTCCAGCACTTGCAACTCCTGCTCCTTAGCTGCAATCAGTTGACTGTATCCTCCGATTATACTCTCTTGTCTGCTATTTAGGCCCAAGCTTCCGCTTAAGATTGACAAAAACACAAAAAATACTATATATATCTCCATCGTATTTATTTTGTGCTCCGATCAGACTTTCTACGTTGTTGACGCCTCGGCGTGCTGAACTAAAATGAAAGTAATCTCTATTCGTTTATTTGTTTACCGTAGAATGCGTGCAATTCTAGTTTATATATAAGGTGACTATAAAAATCTAAATATAAATGTGTGACTTGATGTTGATGGGATAAAGGCAGGTTCAGCTGTCAAGAAAATGTAAACATATTTAGTTACTTTCCTTTACATATATATTCTCCCAAGAAAGTTGGTTTTTCTTTTTATGGAAACGACATTGTTGAAGACAGCCAACCAGCCATTTTTGAGCCGATGTCCGACAACCTTAGTCGCTTATCAACATTAATCACTCTTTGTTTATACTTCAATTTTGTTTCGGGTTTTTAATGGTTCATTTCAATTGGAATTTGATGCTAGATTTCTCGCTCTCCGCCCGCTCAAGTTGAAACATGAGCCGCTGAACGTTTCGAAAGAATATTGGGTTTAATTTTCTTTTTTTTATTATTTTTCGAAATGCAGTTGCTTATCTCGCGAGCTGATAACCTTCACAAGTCTGGGCGTAGAACAAAGAATAATAGAGAGTGAAATTGTAATATTTTCCCCGCTCGATGCCGAGGCCCGCACTTCAAGTAACCCTCTGAATCTGAATGAATACAGCTCCCTTGTTCGATTCCCACAATTTGAAAACTGAAAGCAATTTGCAAAATGTGTTGAGAATCTTTTGGGTGATTAGAGCCCGACACCGGGACTCGAATGTCACTGCCAGCCAATTGATTGATATTCGAACCGGCGAGGGAGCGTAGATATTTACCAAAGTGATAACCTCGGTTCAGGGCCGGATTATGTTGTGATCCGATCGACGTGTGCGCTCAGCTTTCCCATCACGTGCCACACGCGACCTTGGTTCATATTCTGCGACATTTTGCAACATGCGGCAACCTCTTGAATTTCAGCACGGAATGTCGCTCATCCGGAGGGGAAAATCCAGGGTTAAAGTCTGCGCTTGGCGGCTCTTCAAAGCAGCTGCAGCATTTTCCTGGCAACCGAAAAATACGCAAAAGTCTCGCAAAGCCTTTCGCCTGTCTGCGGCTACTTCCCCTCATATTTTTCTCGCTTTTTCAACTCCATTTTTTTTTGGCATCTCTGCACTGTCTATGCGGCAATAAACCAAATTAAAAACACAAATTAGCCAATGCTGCTGCAGTGGCAGCCAGTCGGGAAACTTATGCCTGACTGGGATTTATGGTAACGTTTTGAGATTTGAATAACGCCAGAATTGAAATTATAAAATGGGATTGCTTTTGTAAAGAAAATTGAGTATCTACAAATAAAAATAGTTATATGAAGATGGTTTATAGTGTGGAATAAATACTCTTAGGTATATAATGTGAACACATTTACCACTACCTTAAATTCCCCCTCCCGGAAAAAGTATCTCTTCCGACCCTTTTGTGTAAAACAATCACAGTTTTCTCCACAACAAATTCTTAACGCAAAACCAATAAACAATTACGCATCCATGATCACCGTCACCTACGGAACCATTGTCATTGCCATCCCCTCCTGACCACTCGATTTCCACCCCCTTCCCACTCCAGAGCGCACTTTTCACAAGGACTCTCCACGGACCCTTGGTCACCAGAAATGTGGAAAGCCGGCAATCAGCGGCCATTGAATTGCAGTTGCCACTGGCATTCCCGTTGCCGGATTTATGCGCCATTATTTCGTGTAATCCATGTGAAATAGGGGCAATGGACATGCGGCTGCAGTTCATTTTGGGAACATTTTCGAGTGCTCAAGCGAAAAGGTTGCGAAAGTGCTGCGCAAGCGTAGACCGGAACCAGAAATGGAATAGGATCGCATTAGCCGGATGTCCGTTATGGTGGCCAGCTGTCTATGACTATGGCCACTCGTATAACCCCCTGATTTTCCACCCCCTCGGAAGCCAAATGAAATTTGCAAACAATTCAAATGGGATTTGTACATGCAATTTTCATTTTTAACCTTTGGAGTGCCGTGTAAACGGGGGGTAAAAATGTTTGACAACTTGATCGCTGGCCGAACAACGAACAACAAAGTTGCTGCACTCTCATCCCGGCCACGCCCCCGCACCGCAGACCGCCCCCTTGCACACGGGTCTACTACGCGAGACTCCACACAACAAATCACTCGGCCCGAAAGTCAAGACGAGTCAAAGAGTCGAGAGCACGGCATAAATGTTTAACAACCAAACTGCAGTTTAATTGCCCAACCGAAGCGGAGAAAAAACAATGTTTATTTTTTCTGTTTGGTTGAATGGTCGGTGGAAATGACAGGCAATGCCGGCGGAAGAAGAATAGCGAAAATAAAATGTGACCCAAACAGCAATCTGGCAGATAGGCTCGTAAAACGAGCGGTGCCAACTAAAAGACAAAAAATAAGCTGGAAAAAAATGAAAGGTTTTTCTGTGGTCGAAACTGAAAACTGAAAAGATGGAAACAACAACGCAAAAACAAATTATGAAGTAAACAAAGCTGGGTACATGTCATACAAGGCCTCCTTACAGTGGCCATTAATTAGTTTCGAAGCTGAACGAGTGCTTGGATTGCAGCTACTCAGTTATATGGTAGAGAATGGAAAATCTTGTAGCAGAAAATGTGTTAAAGAACACTTAAATATTAAATTTATGGGTATTTAAAAAGAGTATTACCAACGCCACAAACGTTTAAGTGCAGAACGAATTGAATATTTGATTAGTAGTTGTTTAGCATCTCAAATAAAAAATATATTATTAAGAAAAAACATTACAAAATCCTTATGAAATATCCAGTAAATGTTTAGTAATGTTTTGACCCACTGTGCGTTTCGGTTTGCCCTCCTTTTGGTCCCCCCTGCAAACATCGGATGGCTTTTGCTTTTGGAGGAGATGCAACATGTGTTCCGGGAATGAGCCGCGTGCCGTTTTATACACGTTATGCTATAAATTTTATTGTTGTATGCGTGCTCTGCCGTAGTTCCCAGTTGCCTGTTTTGAGTTGCCAGTGTGTTTGTATATGTTGCATGCATCAGGCCTTTCCGGCCTTCTTTTGAAGCGCCTCACCACATCCAAAGAGCAGCAGGGAAAACAGCGAGGCAGTCAAAGGGCAACCGATCGTAAAGCAGCTGACATTTATGATAGATGCAGCGGATAGACCGCCTGGTTAAATGGGATTCTTCCCCGGTCTCTCTCTTCAGCATCGATGGCCAGGAATTCTCAGCCATTTGGGATTATTTGTCGCCAGCTTAGATGTATTTTTCATCTTCCTGTCGTGGCAGCAGTTGCTGGTGTCTCTGGTGTTGCTAGTATTTCTGGTGTTTCTGGTGCTCCAGTTGATGTGGCTGTTGTGTCGCCCACACAAACTCGCAATTACGTTGTTTATTCTAGACGACAAGGGCTGAATGCATGCTAGAAATAAAAACATGCCAAAGGAGGTTGGCAGCAGCATCATTATCATCATCATCCTTTTGTCATCGCATGCAAACATCCCGACATGGTTCACAAATTGTAAGAATCAAACGGCAAATAATGCAGACAACTACATAATGACAACGGAAAACACAGAACTGAGAAAAACTTACCAGAAGTCAAGTGGCAAAGTCGAAGTGGCAATGGTCTTCCACTTAAAAACAATAAAATCCAGTCTATTTTAAAAACCAAAACTTGTTTTCTTTTCCACGAATGAATAGGGATTTATTTAATTTTTAATTGTTACTTTTTTATATTATTAAACTCTTTAAAAACTTTTGCTTTTAAATTAAATCAATTGATTTGTTTAATTTATATACAAGTTAGATTTATTTACAAAACGCTTAAAATAGTGTAAGTTACTTGTCAAAGCCGAATACCCTTTCTATATTTTAGTAAGTCCTTATCTAAGGATCCCACGGAAGTCAGCACGACAATGCCTTGTGCCATTTTCCACTTTCCACTCCGCCCTTTTCTTCTCCTCTGTCAGCTGCTTGTTTTTTATTTGTGCATATTTGTGCAGAAAATGAAGAAATAATTTGAAAATACACAAGCACATGGATGCACATATAAACATGGCAGGATTTCCAGGCTGGTCGTGTGGTGTGAACACAATGGCGCCAAATTATTTAATACTTTAAATGTCTGTCCCTGCTCGCCCCTCTTTTTTTGTTGGCCTGGCCAAACGATGGCAAACATTTCACAATTGGGTTGAGTTTGCTGGAGGAGTCGGGGGAAACCATGGATTTTTGGAGTGCAATTTGGTTTGGCTCTCGGCTCGAGTCCAACATTTAATGAAGCCCCATTTGGGCTGCCTTTGTCCGGGCGAAATGCAAAAATGCTTTCCCCAAAATGGGGACTTTCTTCGAATGATTTCTGTAATTTGTTGCACTCATATGCCGCCAGCAAATTGTCTGGCGAAAAGCGCCGGATGAAGTCAAATCAAACGGGCGGCGAAGAAGGAAGCTGTCCCCGAGTTTTCACTCCCTGATTTACTCCGGCCAAGTCAGCAAATTCCTGCATCATTAAGTCCCTGCAAAGTGCAATGTGCAATGGCAGCACAATTCAACTTTAACAAGCAATTAAATCGAAACAAAACGCAGGCGGGAGGGCAACCCCTCCGAAGTTTTTCGAGGGGGTTAAAAGGGAAAAGTCGCCGGGAGGGAGATGGATTCCAATCGACATTGATTTATTCCAACAATTACAATGCAACGTAAATTTTATAATTATTGTCCTTGTAAACAAGCGAGCTGAAAAAGGTGAGAAATGCGGAATACAGAAGTAGAGCCAGCGAAATGTCAAGCCGAAGTGACAGCTGCTAAAAAAAGAGACAAAGTAAAGGAAGGGCTAACAAAACCCCTGGCGCCTTGCCTTTGCTTGAAATAATTACTTTTCGAAAGTGAATACAGCATCCCCCACTCCTCAGTACAACCACCCCCTTCTGGAGTTGAGGCACCACCCCTTTTCCGCCTGCATACATATGTCGTCTCGTTGCGATTTTAATTTTGAAATTTATGCTAACAGCAGTTTGAGAAGTTGCCTCAGCAGGGAAAACAAGTGGAAGCTGTAAAGAAAATTTTTGG